TTCTTCAGGATTTTCAATTCAAACTGCTCTAGATTTCACAGAAGTATCCGATTCAAAAGATTCAAAGTTTAACTTCGCTTGCCAAAAATGTATAAATTATCGTTTTTTCTTGCTGGAAATATTAAAGCCTTGATAAAATTAGTGCTGGTGTGCAAAAGAAATGCTATTGGAGAGCCCAACGATCTCTCAATAAAGACTTAAGAATTAAGTATGTAGTGAAATTGAAAATTGTTAGTTTAAAGCCCCAACCCCTTTCGTCCATTATTATACCGCCCGCTTATTTGTGTAGCTTGCTACTTTTTAGCTTCACTAACTTGCCAGCACATTTAAGTTATGACCAACCAAGCACATCCTTAATCCTCTCCAACAGCTGCTTATCAGCTTTTACTAACGTTTTTCCACCATTTCACAATTCGCTTCTCGTAAGAAGTCTGCTAATGGCTTCTTAAATTTGAATAATTGCCCTTAAATGGCTAACAAGCTGAGCGGCAATTAATTTTGTTATTTAATGCGTATAGATACGTATGTACTTATTCCACCGGAAAATCTCAAAGAGCAACTTTCTTGCAGTACAGCGAGTAAGATTTCATGCTTTTATACTTCTTGCAATTAACAGAAAGCAGTGAATTAACAACGGCTTGCCGTAAAATTTTTGATTTATTTATACATACATATGTATGTATGTAGGAAAGTACTTTCCTTTCCTTGCGTTAACGTGCATTAAAATATAGCAAGTAATTCATTTAGTTTCCGCCCCGAATTATGGCTTAATTTATTACTTATGTACATCTGTATTTGCAGTGGTTCTTATCGAGGTTAATAAATATCTGGTTTAATGTCTAATTGCATTCTCAATGAAATATTCAGAGCTTAAAAAAAAATAATAATTCAACGAGAATATGTTGTTTTTTTTTAAACCGCAAAATTTTTTACTGAGCATTTTTTCCATAGCATTGAAAACGTTTTAGTAAAACCGATTTTCCCTTAAGCCGAAAATATGTAGTCTCGAAACATTCGAAGAATTTTTTGAATTGTAAAAAATTTCTATAAAATACAGTATCAGTCATATCAATAGCACCCTCATTTCAAAGTGATATTGTTTGCCACGTATGTTAGTTTTTTTTTTTAAGCTGTCTTTTAAGAATTTTAAATTAAAACACAATTCATTCTCTAACAAAACAGATATAAACCGAAATTTAAAGCTTTGTCGAAAGCCAAAAAAAATTGCAAACACAATTTGTTTTAAATTTCAAATTTTTTCTCAGAAGTGTTAGAACTTTTTTGAGTATACAATTTTATAGTTCATTCAATTTTAGTGTGCAAGTTTCAAGATTTCAAGTGGTTTTCAGAATTTTTTGCCTGTCGCATAATTTTGATATGAAAGAAAATCGCAAAACCTTCGTCCAAAAAATTCTAAAAATTAATGGTAATTTTTAGCCACCTGAAACTTGCCAATATTACACTAAAGTCGAATGCACTGTGTACTCAAAAAAATATCTAACACTTCTCATAAAAAAAGTTTGAGATTTGGATGAAAAATTTATTTGCATTTTACAACGCTTTTATTAACTTACGTTTTTTTAGTTTTCTAAAAAATTTTAAACTTCGGTTTATATGGGTTTTGTTAGAGAATGAACTATGTTTAATAGGAAATTCTTAAAAAATAAATAAATAAACACACGTGAAAAACAATATTACTTTAAAATGGAGGCGCTATTGGTATGATCGATACTGTATATATAAAGATACGTTAAATTTTGCCTTAAAAAAAATTAAAACAAATTGTTTAAAAGGAGTTTGTCTGAAGAAAGGCAAATTTTTGCTAAGTGCTATATGAAATTGATAAATTTGATTTTTTCGATTTATGAAACATACTTCATTTTTGTATTTATGAAGGTATTTGGTATCCTGGAAATTTAATTTATGATCTTATAACTCGATTCTACATATCGTGCACTTCTTCAAAGGTGTATTAATTAACTGAAATATTTTTTTTTTCAAATAGGTGGCAACCCGCTGCAAAATTATTTTCGGCAGTATAATTTTTTATCTTTAGCTTGATACTCGTACTGAAATATGTCATTTATTTTATTAATTTAATAATTGAATACAACTTTTCGAACTGGTGGCAGCCCTCCTCAAAAGTATTTTTCGCAGTAAACTTTCCTAAACTTCTATAGTTTGATACCCATATTGCCATATTTAATTTATCTTATCAATTAAATCAAATTAAAATTTTCAGAGGTGGAAACCTTCCACCAAAACAAATTTCGACTGTAAACCTTCGTAAACAGCCATATTGGAATATTTACTTTATCTTATCAATTTATTTAGACTATTATTTTCTAACAGGTGGAAACACTGTAATTATTTCAAATGCTAGTTTTCGAATGACGCGCGTACAAACATAGACAAAAATTCCGAAATTTTTGATTTGGCTTCTGTTGCTCTAATAAATACCCCCATATCAATGTTGCTTTAATATCTACTATAATGTAAAAACAGTGGCCTGTTACAATTTTATTAAAGCTTATTTGTAAAAAAAAAAAATTGTCGCCAATAAAAAGCATCAATGGAGGGTATTTATTAAATTGTGAAATTGTGTGAGACAATCAAATTACAATTTTAGAAGACGTCAAAAGCAAAATACCAATTGGATGGAATGTCTCTTAAAAGTTTAATAAAAAGCAACAATGCGACAGGACTAAAAAGCATGAAAAGTGGCGACAACTCAAGTGAACCGCAATTGAGTAGCCACAGCAAGCGGGTGAAACTGAGGAAATAAATGCAGAAATTGAAGTTAAAGCGCAAAACCAGATTGCAACAAACTGAAAGGGGGAGGCTGAGTAGAATAAACAGCAACAGACAATGGCTTAGAGAGCAATATCTGCAAATGCGCAAATTAAGAAGTGAGAAGCTAAAAAGCAAAATAGTAAAGGAGCAGCAAACGAAGCGTCTGTAGCTAGTTGCAATTTGAGTTGCCTAAAGAAAAGTGCAACGAAAGTAGTTGTGAATTTAAATGACAACTTGGATCGAGAGTTACGAGATGAATGAAGTAGTGAAACAACAATTAAATAAAGATATTTGACTAAAATAGGAACAAGTAGCTTGAGCTGGAAATAAAGAAAAGTAACAGTTGACATACTTTGAGTGAAATTAGTTTGCAATAAATGAATTGTGACTTTTTGTAGAGCAAAGTTGCAAAAGAAAATAATTAAATAAATTGTAAAAGAAACCACTTAAAACAATAACTGTGTGGAAACTAGGCATTAGCTGCACTAAAGTTGTTACATTAAATACTAAATAGTTGTGAAAGGCATTAAACAGAAATTCAGTTGCTTTGAATGATAGCACTCCCGCAGCTACTTGCCGCGCCTAAAGGGACACAAAACGTGCGTGACGGCCATAAAAGTTAGCACCAAAATTAAAAAAGGACGTAACTGGCATACCAAAAAAAAAAAAAGAACTAAGGTGTGGCAGAAAATCCCTAAGTAAATATTAAATTTCTTCCTAGTTTTTCTCTGGGGGCTGTTATTTCACCAACGGCATGCTTTCAACTGTTTCTGTTTACATTGATAGCGGATATAGCCTCGTCTGTATATAACAAACGAAGTTAAGAGACCAGCAAAGGTTGCTTCTTTTGATCTTTTATGCCATTGCGTCATATTTTTCTCTGCCGCTACTGTTGTGCCACATCCACTCAAACTGTATGGCTGGCGCACAACGGGGCGTATACGTCATCAACCAATTTGGGCGTTTTGCTGGCCGCTCGTTTACCAATTGTAGGTTTACCCTTTTCCGGTTGCCAGTTGAATGAATTCGAGCAGATTTGCGTGCGCTTTAAATTTTTTTTTTTTTACTTTTTTTCTCTTTTAAGTTTAAATTTTCTTCTTTTGCTGGGTTAGTGGTTTTGACCGTTTTCTATGGTTTTGCTGGTTTTGTAGAGCTTAATGGTTGCTGTCGGCTTTGCTGTAGTCCATTAAAGGGCTTTTGGTGCTACGGTTGGTATTAATGGGCGTTTAAAACTTATTTCATCTGGCGTCTATCGGTTTTTAGCACTCGGGCTGTATGCTGTATTTGGAGATTAGAGTTACGGCAGTTATAAATATTATTATAAACGCTGAATGAATGAAATTTCGGAACATAAAAAAATTATTAAAACAAACAAGAAATGGTAAGATATGGAAGTTTGTGAACTTATCCCATCCATATTGCGAATAAATTATTCCAGTTCATAAGATTTGCTGGATTAACACGATTCCGCTTGACTTTGGGTGCGCATTTCACCACAATGATGCCAGTCATCGATTTTAATTTTACACTCAGAGGTGAACATTAGATGGCACTTGCAGATTTTTATGTGAAATATATTGATGTACTTAATTGATATAAATAATTAGAGGAAATTGTTCTGTTTGGTATAAATATGCAGTGTACATTAAACCGTTAACCCTTAGAAAAAGTTAGAAAAACGAACCCGATAATAATACGTACTGAATACATTGAGGGAAATAATGCATAGAAAAAATGAATCTTTATATTTGATTATCGTTTGAAAATGTTCGTATTTAAAAATAATATTTTCATACAAAAATTTATTACGCACGTATTTGACTGTTCACATCTGACTATGTGTAAGTGTGCATACGCATCCCCAGCAAGCAGAGCGCCCTCCAGTACTGCTGGATGTTTTGCGTGCTTGACGACATTTCTTGTTGTATTAGAAACTTCCGGAGATTTTCAAGGAATTTCCGTGCTCAACAGTACCTGCACATATTTTAGTCTTAATTTTTGGTCTCCTATGCCTTGAAAACCGTATCAATTTATGTACTCGAAGTAGTATAAATATGTGCCACGGCTTTTTTTGTAATGAATACTTAGTAGTTAGTACGCTTGTTCTTTTATTGATCTTTCCTGCCCACATGCTCTGTAATTTATGTAAAACATAATTAAAATTTTGCTAAACATGATTTTAATTTTTAATTTTCATTTTATTACAGAACAACAAAAACAAAAGCAACAATAGTTGAAGGATACTCGCTAACAATGTAATAATGTCAGCCACAGAGTCAAAGATGCTTGTGGGGAATGTGGCAAGCAGCATATTAATAACGCCGGTAGCAGAAACAACAATAACTGCAACAAAAATAAAAACAATAACAACAGCGAGAAAATTGAGCAATCCAGATAATCACAATGAGTACGTTGTTGCAAGCGTCGAGGAGAAGCATTTAAGGCACGCAATGCTTGGAAATTTTAATCACCAAAATGAGCTTTGGCAAGCCAAGCTGGATGATGGTAGCAACAGAAATAGCAATAGCAACACCAGCACCAACACCAACACCACAAACAAGCATGTACACCATCGTTGCGGCGAAGCGAATAAGCAGTGCAAGCGACTGCGATTATGGAGGTTAAATGAGGATACGAATTGTGTCAACAACATGCAACGAGCAACACAAAAAACAATGTTTGCAAAAATGACGAGTGATGCCACAAACAAGCGCATTTCATATAACAATACTACGTGCCAGCGCAGCGAAAGCTACATTAATGGGAATTATGAGCAACGCGACAATAATGAAGAGTCCAGTAATTCACCTACATCCAGAGCCACCACAACAACAGCGAATGCACTATCCACGTCGCATGAGGTTGTTAGTAGCATAGAAACTTTAGCGACGCTAACACCTACTGGCCAGGAGTGCATGCCAATATCAGCAGCAGCAGCAGCAGCAGCAGCAGCAGCAGCATCAACATCAACATCAACACCATTGCCATCGCCAAAGCCCGCTGCGGAGCCATTGCTGCGGGACATAGATGTCGTAAAAATTCCGAAAATTCGCTGCGGTGGCACAAATCACGCAGCCGCTTTGAACCCGGTTCGGAATAGTAAAACAACGGGGAGTTTAAAAATTTCGAACATTGCTGGAAAAACGCGTGGGGGTAATGCAAATAGAAGAAGAAGACATTTCGCGCCCAGTCAGCACTGGAACATTAAATCCACTAGCTCCAGAGTGAAAATAGAAAGTGAAGCAGCTAAAATTGAGGCTTCCGCAAGAGCAAGTGTGGCTAAAAGCAGCTCAAAAGCGCCATCACTGAATTTCGCTGCATTAACGTCATTTATTTTGAATTCCACATTTTTGGCGCTTTGCAATGCCACCGCTGCGACAGCGTTGTCGGCAGTGGCGACGACACTCAGCAGCGATGCGGGTGCAGATCTTCAGTCTACCGTCGATGCCGATGCTTGGAATGGCATACAAAATGCAACTTTGGCTAATCGTAATGGCAGTTACGGTGCGATTGGTGATTTAAATGTGGCTTCCGAAAGCGGCATTGGTGGCATTCGCTTTAATGATAGCGGAATTTTGTTGGATGAGGAAGTTCCCGAATATATCTTCGATCGCACAGATGTACGCATCATTTTTATAACGTTGTATACGTTGGTGTTTTGTTGTTGCTTCTTTGGTGAGTAAAATTAGTTAAGTGAGGGACTTTTAATTTTTTAATTATAAGCTTTACGTTTAGGAATTACAAATATCATATTACGGCGGGTCACGACAGTTCGATAGGGCTGGGCATATCCGCGTATTCGAATATGCGGTCCGTATTTCCGTTCGTTAATTCGTGTATGCGGCTAAAATCCGGATATTGGGTTAATATCCGTTATATTTTGTCATCTAACTTTCCGGATATCCGGTTCATACCCGTTTTACAATCGTTATCTTTGATTTGTCCAGATTTTCGTATCTTTTAATCAGATACTCGAATATCTGAGTTATCCGAGTTATATTCACGAAGTCCTAATATAACTACCAGCCCCAGCAAACGTTCAATATTGCGCATACCGTTATCGATGATTTTATGGAAAAATATCGATATATATCGATGTACTTTTTATATCGATAACAATATCCATAAATATATCGATAGCTTCAAAAATACACGGTACACAATTAGACCGGCTAAGATATGTATGTAAAAACCTGTGGAGAAAACATTTAACAGGAACCTTGAACGACATAACGTCGCCTGGGTAAAATATTGTCCTAAGCGCCATTTTGACGATTTTTAGTTTGAGAGGCAATTATGTATATATTTTAAAATAAGATCTTTCGATTAATGTTATCAGTTTTTAATATCTCCTCTACTTTCCGAGATTTGAACTACAATTTTTCGTTTTTTACCTCTTTAGTTTAGTACAAGTTTTTATCACATTTTGTCGCATTTCATACAAGTGGCTGCATACGACAAAATTTTACTAAAGAAAATCCTTCATAAACTCAAAAATAATTAACTATAAAAAATTAAAATAAAATAATCTAAGAATTTCGTGACCTAGTAATATTCCTCGAGGCATTACAAACTTCAAGGGCGATTTTTCAAAACCTGGCGAAAGTACTTAACATACGCCAATCTTTTACAGGCGACGATAATCTATCCAAGGAATTTACATAATTTTGTATTACCATGTGAGTCTTATATCAGTAGAAATTTATTATAATTGTTTGATACAGACAATCTCGTTCCAGAAAAATGAGCTGTATTAAAGAAATCTCTTCAGATCAATCTCGAGATTGAGATGGTTGTTTCGCTGAACTCTTACAGCGAGTTGAAGAAGTAAAAAAATAAAAACAGCACAATTGTAGGACATGTCTGTGGTAGGCATTTCCCTAATTGTAGGTGACTGCCGTAAGCTCCTAAACAGGATAGCTTAGCAGCTCGTTTTTTACCTACTTAGGGTACATTTCGGGCCCACGTCGGGACTCAGGACTAGTCAATGAATTGGGCAGGGGTCGCGTAACAGGCTTTGTGGAAGGTCCCTGGCCTACTCTGCTTTACAACTGACTGATCACTGAATAATCATCTGAGTATCAGACTGGGAGTACTAACCCCTCAGATTATACATAAAATTTCTACGGCGATTTTGAAAAATCTTATGGATACTTTCCTGTAGATGGGACTTTGCATACAATGTTTCTTTCTCGCTACAACACAGAATTGTTCATTAGGGCAGAGTAATTTGTTCGGAGCAAAATTTTCGAAGAGAGTGTATAGCAAATGAAAATTCTACGATAAATTCTAAGCAAAAATGGCGAACAAACTAAATACCAAAAATGACGTTTGACCCTCCCAATTTTCAAAAGAAAAAGCAGTATATCAATACCTGAGAGGAAGATCGACCCATCTCGACAGGCAGTTCGAAAACGCACCATCTCAGAAAACTTTTCAAGAACGATCTATCTCAAAATTCGTTTCAAAAAACGCCCTAACTTAGCAGCCGATTCAAAAGCTCCCTATCTCAGCACACTTTAAATGTATTCTCACCTGAGATAGGGCATTTTTAAACCGAATTATGAAGTACGGCCGTCTTGAAAAGATTTATGAGAAAGAGCGTTTTCGAACTGACTGCCCAGATAGTTCGATCTTCCACTAAGGTGTCGATATTGTATGAAGAAAACACAAAATTTTGTAAATGAAAAAAATAATTTCGTTCATATTTCGCATATTAAACCAAACCTATATATCCCTATGTTATTCGAGACGCTGAGCGAATCCGAGGTTCGTTGGCCTCCATCAAGTCGAGGTCCGTGGTCATTTGAAGGTCGAATAGGGAAAAATTCATTGAATAAACCTGAAAATTCAATACAATTCTTCTGTATTTGACTTTGGGATGACCTTGGTGTGACTTCTAGATGACCTTGAGGAATCATATTCGGATTTGTTGTCCTATTTGTGAAGGCTAACGGACCTCGGATTCGGGTTTAGCGAATCTAAAGCCCCATATATATGAATTTTCAGGCTTATTCAATAAATTTGTGCCTACTTGACCTTCAACTGATCACGAACCTAACGTAATGGAGGCTAACTGACCTCGGATTCGCATTCAGCGTGTCGAATAACATAGGGATATATAAGATTGGTTTAATATGCATAAACTGTTTTTTTTTTTGTAAACCTGTGGAATTTTTACCGAACCTAAGATTTAAAAATTTCTAAATATTTTGTACCACCTTTTATCCACATAGTATCTGAAGTGGTATTTTGTGCACCGCTTGTAAGTATAGTTTCTGCATTGCTGCTTTACTCTGCGGTACTAATCATTCCTGTGAGCTCCTCTATGCATTCACGCATACAGTCCCACATTCCACAAGGGCAACGGGATCGACAACTTACCGACTGATACAAAGATAGGTTTATAAATGCACCTAAGTAAAAACATACATATCTACATATCCACTATATGTATGCATCTGCACTTGGATTTAAAAGCACTGGTAGTTGTTAATGATAATTATTTCACCCCCGATGGTTGGACTGTTTGACACCGGAAATATCAATTATTTACAAACACACACACACACACACACACAGGCAGACTTGTACATTAGCGAGGTCCCAAGAAAGCAAGCTTGGAACTTTAATGCTCTCAACACTCAGATTCTACATCGAAAAAAAGTGTACGCGCTTTTTAATCATAAAATATTTGGAGGTCGCTCAATGTGGCCAGATTCACAGTTTTAACTGTGAATTGGAGTTTTTGGACAAGATTACAGTTTTTTCGAACTGTCCGATTAGAACGAATTAATTAAAATTTTGCCTTCGGTTTTTTTTGTAAGTCAACTTTTAAGGTAAATGGGGACGATGGAGGAGCAGCGTTTCTTCATTTAAACTGAGTTGTTTTAAAAAAAAGTGATTTGAATGTTCCATATTATAAAGTATATTTTTGTTTAGTTAAATATAGTTTACACGGTTTATGTTACTTAATTTTAAATGAATCGTTTTTTTTTTTTATATTTAATAAGATTAAAAACCTTAATTTTTTAAAAAATGTTCGTATTTGAAGGAAAGAACTAAAATTCCGACTTCACTTTTCTCACATGCACCATGTACATGGACCACCCTAATGTATGTACATACATACATTCACATAAGCACATGAAACCCGCATAAGTACAAGCTTGTTTATGGCGATTACCGCTAGTTTTGTAATTAGTGTAGACAACAACAAAAGCAAAAATAAAATAAATGAATAGTTCCTCTATTTGTCTGCTTTTGGGAAGACAATTTGCAGCAGGTAGCCATAAACCACAATGAAATTCAGTGAAAACTGCGCAAAATTGTTTGCAAGGCTCCGTTTGGTGCGCCCCACACCCATTTCGCTCCATTGCTCTTCCCTTCTTTTCACGCTCTGCGTATTTAGGTAGGTAGCTTCGAGTAATGAACTATGCTACATATTTATGTACATATGTAAGCGTGTAATTTACCATCAAACTGTGTTCGTATTGTCCCTCTAATTACTGTTTCGGTGCCACCGTATGTGTGACTGTAAATTAACAGCGAATTACGCATTTGACTTATGACCCCAACACCACCGCAACAACAGCTGCTGCAACTGCAGAGCGGGCAGACTAAGATTAGCTTAGATGTTTTTGTTTTGCTAACGTTGCATAATCGAAATGCGTCCCTGTTGTCTGCATTCTGTCCATTTGTCTATCAGTTTGTCTTTTCGTCCTCTTCCACTCTTCCAGTCGTAGGCGGCATCCCAAACTGACAGCTGTTGATTGCCACTGTCGCCATGCGTTGATCTCGTTAATTGTGGTCTGCTGCTGGCAACTGGCGCTAGTTGGTGCCGATATTGGCGCCTTCAATTATTGCATTGCGTGTGATCTCTGATTAGGAAGACAGTGTTGTGCGACAAAAGTCACTTGCAGCAATGAGATTCGTCTTTGAACTGAAATTTGAAGTCACAAGTATACTAAATAAGTAGACTTTTATTAAGGAGAAATCAAAAATCTCTCTTTTGCGAAACCGAATCTTTCAGAACCGTTGAGGTTAGGAATCAACGTTGCCACAAGTGAAGGTTCATCTTGAAATAACGATTTATTTTTTTTTTTAATTTTATACTGCAAATATTATTCATATTGAAGTTTTTTGTGTATGATGTAAGATGACCGTTGTGATTTCAGTAGTAAAACCTTAAAATGTATTGAAAAGATATCGCCTAAAAATGTTATATTAAAAAATGCATTAACTGTAAATCTCTTTACATATTTCCCAAATCTCAAAGTGAATAATATTCAAAATGTTGATTCCGAGTGGAGACAGATGAGACTTCTGAGTTGTCAACTGAAACAGAAATACACTGAGAGAAAAAACGCGTTGTAATATTAAGAAAAATTTTATGAATTCACTGACGGAAATAACGCATAGTAAAAATTAATATTTTTTATTTGATTACACCGTGCGACAGTCAATTTTACACAAGAAAAAATCAATACATATATTCACTAAACTCAGACATCAGTATTTTATTTAAAGGACTAACTATATGATTAATTAAATTAAATTCGGAGCACGATACGGAACAGTATGGCTTCCAGATGAAAGAGGAAATTCTGTAGAATTAAAAAAAAATATTTTTTTTTTATTTCTTTTTAAATAAATTTTATTTAAAAAAGTTAGAC